ACATTTTCAGAGATGGTTCTAAAAAACAAAGAGGCACCAAAAATGGCACAATGAATACCAATTTGAGATCTGTCAGATGTGACTTAAACAACCACTTAAAGTGGTTGAAAAGAATTCTGAAAAAGAATTTAGAGTTTAAGTAAAAGTAAGAAAAAGAAAAGGAAAAGGTAGAGGAAAGCCACTAAAGGAAAAGTAATGGGGAACTCTACAATCGAATCCTGATTCCCTGGGATGCCTGGGTGGCTCAGCGGTTAAGCGCCTGCCTTCAGGTCAAGGTGTGATCCTGGAGACCAGGAATCGAGTCCCACGTCGGGCTCCCTGTATGGAGCCTGCTTCTGTCTCTGCCCCTCTCTCTCATGAATAAATGAATATTTATTCATAAATAAAATCTTAAAAAAAGATTTATTTATTCATAAATAAAATCTTAAAAAAAAAATTCTGATTCCCCTAATCCCAGCATCCTCACAGCAAGAAATGATTCTATCTCCTTTATTCGTCTCTGGAAAAAAGATTAGAAGTATATACCTTATTACGTGATGGAAAGCTTTCACCTGGATCCTCCACTTGGCCCTCCAATAACCCTGTCCTCAAAACAAAATTAGGTACAAAGCGGAATGGCCTGTTGTATAAAGATGCAAAACTAATAGATGAGACAAAAGCAAATGTCGTTTATCATATAAATGATACTACTTATTGAATCCATTCTAGGCATCACAGTAGGTGCTTCACAGAAATTAACTCTAATCCTTGGAAGAAACATACAAGGGAGGTTTCTTTGTTTGTTTGTTTGTTTGTTTTGGTCCTATGGACCTTGAAGCTCACAGATTTTATTTAAAAAAACTATGGTCTAAGATCACACAGGGCAGAAGAGGAAAAAATTGCATTTCATTATAGAAATTTAGAGGTATAGGAGAAAATAAGAAGAGCTAACAATTACCAAGGGCTTACAACATGTCAGACGTCATGTCAAGGATTTAGCATGCATTCCTCAAAACAACCTTGGAAGGTGGGAAGGTAAAATTGTCCCAATTACGTAAAATAGGACACTGATTAAGACATTTGTCAGAGTCACAGCAAATGAGTGGAGAAAAGTATGGTCTCTGATCTGGCTTCTGAGGTTTTTTTTTTGGGGGGGGTTAAGCTTTTATTTATTTATTCATGACAGACACAGAAAGAGAGAGAGGCAGAGACACAGGCAGAGGAAGAAGCAGGCTCCATGCAGGGAGCCCAACGTGGTACTCAATCCTGGGTTTCCAGGATCAGGCCCTGAGCCAAAGGCAGGCACTAAACCTCTGAGCCACCCAGGAATTCCACTTCTGAGGTTTTAAACAATAAGCCATCCATAGCTTCAGATGAGACCCTCAAGGCTGATGCGGTAAGTAAACGAGGCATTACGGAGGTAAAGTTCAGAATGAACACAAATTGAATGGGAGCAATAAAAGAACCAAAGGTGGAAAGAAAAAAGTGGGCACAGACTTTTGGGGGGCATTAAAGGTTTGTCTACCTAGATCCAAGGTCAAATGTTAGAAACAGTCGTTGTAAAAATATTGTAATTAAGTTTGGTTCCTCTTCATGCCACATACATGAATGTATCCATTCCCAAGACTTTTTTTTTAAGACTTTATTTATTCATGACAGACATAAGAGAGAGGTAGAGACCTAGGCAGAGAGAGAAGCAGGCTCCATGCAGAGAGCCGGATGTGGAACTAGATACTGGACCTCCAGGATCATGCCCTGGGCCAAAGGCCAGCAATCGACCACTGAGCCACCCAAGCGTCCCTCATTCCCAAGACTTTTTACCTTGGCCCCCACATCTCTCTGCAAGCTCATCATCACTTCTACGGCCTCAGTCTTCATCCCTAAGATATCTCCCAAATCTTCCAATTGCCCCCCCACCCCACCTCTCCACACGCTTCCAAATTTCCAACTGTATATAGATTTGTGTTTGGATGACAATAAGTTTAATTTGTCCACAACAAAATTCATCATCTTTTCCTCCAGACTAGCTCTTACATCTGACTTCACTACTCTGATGGCGGCCTGTTAACACATTTCTGGTCAGCAAGACTCAAAACCCCATATTCTCAAGATTTGACCACAAACATTCTTTTGGACCCCAATTTTCAAACAAGCTCTGCAGATGCTTCTTCCATCCTTCCACCTTCCTACCTATCCCTCTTGCATCTCTCTTCTACTTTCCATTCTCTCTATTACATCTGTCTGCTACTTTCCATTCCGCCATTACCTCCAAGCACAAAGCCTTCATCACCTGTCACCAAAATTATTGAAATATTCTCAAGTGGCCTCTCTGTTTATCTCCATCCTCTTCTGCCCCACACAACACCACAAGATCATTTTCCTAAAGCACAATTCTCATCACATCACTCTTCTCAGAAACTTTCATCTGCTTCCCAAGGATTATTAAATTAAGGACAAAAGCTTTAGACATTTCATGTTTTGTACTATTTAGCCTAACTCAGTTTTAAGGATTTTTTTCTCCCATGCTCTAGAGACAACGTGTTATTTGTACTTATGCCTGGAAAAAGCACCACTCTTTCTTTCTACCTATATCTGCATTCTAACTGGGACCTTCATTACTTCATGCATCAATTTCCTACCCATGTGAAAATGGACTTATGCTAAATGTGAAAAAATAAGATACAAAAATTTCTGTACACTATGCTTTGTATGTAAAAAAAAATTTCATTGCCTGTCATTTCATGTAAAATACAAAAGACCGAAATATCCAGTATAAGCAAGGGTGTAGAAAAATGAGCACACTCATACAGTGAAGAGTGTAAATTATCACAATATTTTTGGACAATTTTGGAAAATTGACAGAATCCTACTACACTAAAATATGCTTAATCTCTGAACTAGGTATTTCACTTCTAGGAATTTATCCTACAGAAAAACAGTTACACAAATATTATATTTGTAATAGCAAAAATTTAAGGCAATTTAGGTGGTTACAAAAATAAACTGCTATATCCAAACTATAAAATACTGTATACTCAATTAAAAGAATGAAATAGAATAGTCAATGACAAAAATAGCAGCTAATAATTACTGAGTGCTTTATGAGAGACAAGTATTCTTTTAAGTGCTTTGCAAGTATCAACTCAATTCACAAAAACCCTAAGACATGAATCTGCATGTGCTTAAGTGGAAACATGCTCATGCCTCACTAAGGAATGAAAACAAGCAGATTGCGAAAGGAAGAAAGGAAACGCAACTTAAAAGTTAGAGGGAAAAGAAAAAAAAACTTCTACTCCACACTTTTAACAGTTCTCAAGCGTGGTTACCCCCAGGAGAGTGTTTTCAATAGGGGAAGAGGAGTGGACTTCCTCTTTTGAATCCTCATTGTATTGTGCATATTTTTGGAAAAGTATTTAGTATTTATAATATAAATATAATTTTAAAGATTTAAAGCATGTAGTACTTTATAATCAAAAATATTATAATAAAAAATAACAATTTATAACTACAAAATACTGTTATATACTGTAAAGAAATATAATTAGAGGCACCTGTGTGGCTCAGTGGTTGAGCATCTGCCTTTGGCTCAAATAGTGATCCTGGGCTCCTGGGATAGAGTCCCGCATCAGGCTCCCCACAGGGAGCCTGCTTCTCCCTCTGCGTCTCTCATGAATAAACAAATAATTTTTAAAAAAATAAATAAATAAGGTGATACATATGAAACATCTAGCACAGTGTCTACCATAAACCAGGTCTTCCATTAAAATCCACTTCTTTCTGTGGAGTCTTGCCTAATTCTGCCCACTTTCTGTAACTGCTCTCTTCAGAACCTCCAGAAGCTTTGGTTTTGCTAATAAAAACATTATCACACCTGCCTCAGCTGGTGACTTGTCTTGTGGACAGCTTGTTGAGCCCTTTCACACTGACTAGCCTTGAAAACAGCACTTGTACAGTGTGATTTCCAGAGAATCTGACATTACCCAAATGGGTAAGTGTGAAACAGAAGCTACAGTTGGCCAAAAGAAACAACAGGTCGTTTTACTAAACAACTTACCAGAACTCATCTCCTTAAACAAAACCATCCTCTAAGAAGTCAAGCTCATTGTTTTCAATAAGTCAATAAACCAAATTTAAGCCTCCACCTCTGTACAGTACTTGAATCTTTCCATGTTTTCTTTCATTCAGAAGAAAAAGAAAATATCTGAACTTAAAAGTTAAGCTTTGGGGTGCCTGGGTGGCTCAGGTCAGATCCGACATCCTTGGATACAGCCCCCTCCCATTGGATTCCCTGCTTGGTGGGGAGATGCTTCTCTGTCTCCTTTACTTCCCCCCACCCCACTCTCTCTGTCTCTCATATAGATAAATAAAATCTAAAAAAAAAAAAAAAAATAGCTTTGTAAAGCAATATGCCTGATAACACATTTAAAAACTGAAAAGTCTCCTTTGCCCCTAGGTAAGCACTGACATAATGGGGAAAAAATAAATAAATAAAGGTGGGGGGGCGGGCAAAGGTAACACCTTGCCACCCCCAGAGCCTTTCTGAAATTCTAAAGGCACACCAGGGGTAGGAGGTGGGAGGAGCTAAAATTTCTAGATTAAAACAAACTTTAAAAACCCAAGTAAGGCTCTAAGTAATCTGCATACAAGTAATTATGACATTAGGTTTAATTATAAAAGAGAGTTCCCACAGTTTCAAATTTCTAAAAAAGGAGAAAGAAACACAAGTGCATAAAGTCCATGCTTTTCAGGCTCCCAAGCATGACTCTACTTATCATCACCCTTTTCTTGGGATTACAGCTCGTTAGTCAAAGTCACAGGACATATTATTAACCTAACTCGTTGGTGAAAACTCATTAGCTCAATCCAAGCTCCAGAACACAGTTTGTTAAAGCTTCATTCTGCTCCGCCGACCGCCCCCCGCATCACAGGCGCCTGCTCTCAGTACTGCTGGCTCAGCTGGCTTCATTTTTTAAAATGCTTTGCAAAGAGCTCTGACCTAAAGAACAGAAGGAGACACTTACCTTGAGGAGCAAAGGCAGCCTAGCCAACTTCCGGTTTTGTTACAATTTGTATCTGCTTTCAGCAGCTGGGTGGAGCCTGCTTACCCAGTAACCAGAAGGCAACGTTTCCCAAGCTAAGCAGCAAAACTTGATTTGCAAGACCAGTACTAGTTTTTGGACTCCGTTTCTGAAAATTAAGGGTTCTGTTTTACATACACGAACACTTCGCCAAGTAATAATTGTTTCAATGAGAAAATTATGTTTTTGCCTTTAACAACAAAACCATTTGGAAATACATATCTGTTCTATATATTCTAAGTAAAGGCAAACAAAAGAATCTAGTTGTACCTAGGTAGGGTTGCCAAATTTAGCAAATTAAAATATTGGATGCCCGCTTAAACTCAATTTCAGGTAAACAACCAATGTAAATATTGTTCTATGCAGTATTTGTAATATAATTATACTAAAAAATAATTCATGGTTTTTCTGAAATACAAATTTACTTTTTCTGGAAACTCCATCTAAGGCAGAACAATAATTAGCAAACTATTTCAATTAACTACTGAAGGTGCAAAAGAATCAGACTGCCTAGAACCGAAACCTTGGAAAGTAAATGATATCATGCAAAAGAATTATTTTATTTTGCAAAATTCACTCAGAAACTTAGAAGTTTTGTTTTCATTTCTTTTTAAGCCTTTAATCTTTGTTTTGCACAAGTTTTTTTTTTTTTTTTGCAAAAGAAAATTTTTACGGCTAGGAAAAGAAAATGTATCTGAAAATATTAAACATTCCACTGCAGACCATGATTCACAAGTGCATACTAGAAAATAAATGAGGGGATCCCTGGGTGGCGCAGTGGTTTGGCGCCTGCCTTTGGCCCAGGGCGCGATCCTAGAGACCCGGGATCGAATCCCACGTCGGGCTCCCGGTGCATGGAGCCTGCTTCTCCCTCTGCCTATGTCTCTGCCTTGTCTCTGCCTCTCTCTCTCTCTCTGTATGACTATCATAAATAAATACTTTAAAAAAATAGAAAATAAATGATGTCATATACACCTTGACCTGTGATCCCTAATTGGCAATCAACACTACTAAATTCTCTAAAACTATCTTAAAAGGAGAGAAGAGAGGGGAAAGAACACCATCACTTTAATCTGTCTCCTTAACTATAGTCATAATTAATAAAAACCCCTCCTTACAGAATTTTAGAGAGAGGCTTTAAATTAAGAGGCCAGAGAGCCAGTTTTCTATGCTAAAACTGTGTCGAATGTGAATAGACTTAAACTAAGTCAGGAGAGCTTCAGTCCTTCCATATAAACCCTCAGGTGATAACACAGCTTTCTGCAGTTATAATTGAGCCTTTTCCAGAAATAGTCCCCAGTGGACACTTTGCATGCCAATAGCATGATTAAAAAATCTTCAGACTGGGTGCCTCGGTGGCTCAGTTGATTAAGCATCTGCTTTCAGTTCAGGTCATGATCTTATGGTCATGGGATCAAGCCCCACACCTGGGTGACTCAGTTAGGTATTTGCCTTTGGCTCAGGTCATGATCCCAGGGTCCTGGGATTGAGCCACATATGAGGTTCCTTGCTCAACAGGGGGCTTGCTTCTCCCTCTCCTTCTACACTCCCCACCACCCACCACCACTCATTCTCTTTCTCTCACTTTCTGTTAAATAAATAAAATGTTTTTTTTAAAATCTATTAGACAATTCTTAGAATGTATGGTCATAATCTTTTATCCTAAAACACTCTTAAACAGATGAACATGGGAGGGAAAAAAAGAGGCAAGCCAGGAAATAGACTTAATTGTAGAGAACTAACTAAGGGTTACCAGAGGGGAGGCGGGCAAGGGGATGGCTGAAATAGGTGATGGGGATTAAGGAGGGCACTTGTGATGAGCACTGGGTGTCATATGGAAGTGCTGAATCACTAAATTCTACACCTAAAATTAGTATTACACTGCATGTAACTAACTGGAATTTAATCAAAAACTTGAAAAAAATAAATAAATAGTAGTGAGAAGGGGCACAGTGGAAAGAACTGAATAGAGAGGCTTAGCTCTATCTAAAAACATCCTTTTCCAGGCGTATCACATCCCCTAAGGTCCCCAGCTATAACTCCCCTTATCATTCCCTGCCAGATGTTCACCTCCACAAGGCTCTTTCTTCATCAGCTACTTGTCAGCTGTCACAAAAGGAACCAAATTTAGTAAAATGCTCAATGGAGCTTGGACTCTGAGAAGTTGACATTACTGTATTGGATCCCATTCTCATGCCTCTAAACTAGTAGTTCTCAAATTTTTCAGTCCAGACTCCTTTACAACTTTTTAAAAATATTTTATTTATTTATGAGAGAGAAAGAGACCATGAGCAGGGGGAGAGGGGCAGAGGAAAAAGCAGACATCCCACTGAGCAAGGAGTCAGACATGAGGCTCAATCCCAGAACCCTGAGATCATGACCTGAGCTCAAGGCAGATGCTCAATCCACCGAGCCACCCAGGCTCCCCTCCTTTACAACTTTTAAAAATTACTGTGGGGCAGCCCGGTGGCCCAGCGGTTTAGTGCCGCCTTCAGCCCAGGGCAAGATCCTGGAGACCTGGGATCAAGTCCCACATCGGGCTCCCGTGCATGGAGCCTGCTTCTCCCTCTGCCTGTGTCTCTGCCTCTCTTTCTCTCTGTGTCTCTCATGAATAAATAAATAAAATCTTTTTAAAAAAAGAAAAAGGATCTATCACAATCATTCAACAACTATTTTATCTGTTATATGGCAGATATTGTGCCAGGCACTACTCTATATTTATACAAAGTGGCTTTATGTCTAATATATTGTGATTTCTTTGGTGTATAATAAAAAAAAAGAACAAAAGAAAGAGTGGGAAGGAAGGAGGGAAGGAAGGAAGGAAGGAAGGAAGGAAGGAAGGAAGGAAGGAAGGAAGGAGCATAATCACTTGATAAACCGATGTTCCTGTAGATAGGCAGTTCTCATTTCTTTCCAGATGTCATTGGGTTAAGAATCTTGAGATAGATTATTCTAGATTACCTAGATTCCCCTAACCGCAATCACAAGAGTCCTTAAAAAGAAGAGGCTGAAGCGGATGCCTGGATGGCTTAGTCTGTTGAACATCTGATTATTGGTTTTGGCTCAGGTAATGATCTCATGGGTCTTGAGATCAGGCTCCCCTCCCCGCTCAGTGTAGAGTCTGCTTGAAGATTCTGTCCCTCTGTCCTTCCCCTACTCACATGTGCATTCTCTCTCTCTCAAATAAATAAAATCCTTAAAAAAAGAAAAATAAAGAAGAGGAGAGTGAGATTACACACAAAAGAAGACAACGTGACCATGGAGGTAAACATTGGAATGATGCAGCCACAACCCAAAGAATGACAGCAACCACCAGAAGCTGAAGAGACAAGGAACAGACTCTCAACCAGAGCCTCTGGAAAAAGTGGTTCTTCCAACATCTGCCAATGTGCTACTGATTTTAGACCTGTGGCCTTCAGAACTATAAGAGAATAAATGTTTGTTGTTTTAGCCACTGAGCTTGTGGTCATTTGTTGTTACAGAGCTGTAGGAAACTTAATCAATTGCCCTTTCCAGTTCTCCTGTATTTTTATCAATCAGTAGTACCCATTATCTTCAGTGCTCAAGCAAAACTTTCAACTTTGTGTCTCTTTCATATTTTATAGCTCAGAGTTTTTCAATTTGGAGCCACAACCCATTTATCAGTGAAATATAAAATCTTTAGTGGGCAGGGACCCTACCTGGCTCAGTCAGAAGAGCATGCAACACTTGATCTCAGGGTCATGAGTTTGAGCCCCATGTTGGGGGTAGAGATTACTTTAAATAAATAAATAAACTTTAAAAAAACTACTTAAAATCTTTAGTGGGTAACAATCAGAAAAGCGTTAATAATAAATAACAAAAAATTAGAGCACAGTGTATGTAATAAGAGTAAATGATGTTTCTTGGATCTGTTCAGATTATATGTTAGTAGCTATGTCCTGGTTTGTGAGTTTTCTTACTTCTTACTGTGGGCAGCAGCACAAAATGTTGAAACCAACTGCTTTTAATATCTCCCCAAGTCAATTATCAGTTCCTCCTTTCTCAACACTCACACAGAGGCCTTCCTACTTATTTATTCTAAGCAGGGGAATGTGGTACTCTGGAATCAGGTCACCCAAGATTTAAAGATAAACTCCATCACTAAATTTTGTGATCCAGACCTCTCCGCATCTGTTTTCTCACTATAAAATGAAGGTCATAATACTTTCCTCATAATATTGTTGTGAGGATTAATTAAGATAACATGTTAAGTGCTTAGTTCAATGTCTAAACATAAAAATTGTTCGATAAAATGTGTGCACTATAATCTATGTTCAAATTGTCTCTCTATAGTAAAACCCTTCTAACTAATCTCTCCCATGCTCTCTCATGACCCCATTAATCCTGCTGCCAATAGTCCAACATTCGATTAATCTTCCTAAAGTATTCCTTTTATCAAAAATGTTCTGTGACTTACCATTGCTTATAGAGTTAAATCCATACTCTTCCTGACATTTAAAGCACTCCATCAATAAATAAGTAAATAAATAAATAAGAATAAAAATAAAAAAATAATAAAGCACTCCATCACCTGGCCACACAACATTCTCATTGCTTTCCCATCAGGTACTGCTGACTCAATCACAGAATTAAATACAAAGTCTCATTTGCTAATGTTGTTCCCTTATCACCTTTCTTTCCACATATTAAATGACACACATTCTTCAAGGTTTAACAAAAGTCCCAATTCATCCATGAAACTTTCTGATAATCAGAACTAATATTAGTTCCTCCATTATAAATTGTCTCCATGGTCAAGTAAAATGTCATATTCTCCGAAGTCTGGCCCACTTAGGTTGAAATCTCAGCTCTGCTCTTTAATAGCTGTTAGACTTCAAAGTTACTTAATCCCCTACTCTAACTTTCTTCATTAGCATAAAGAAGATAAGGATACAGAATCCCATCCAAGTGCTAACCAGGCCCAACCCTGCTTAGCTTCCGAAATCAGATGAGATCAGGTTCATTCAGTGTAGTATGGCCATAAACAGATGAATGGATAAAGAAAATGTG